TGCGTTAAATTAAAAAATGCATGGTTGAACAATTTGAAATTAATATATATATATAGATTTATTTACGATGATATTTATTTTAAAAAGATTGCAAACTATTCAGGTAAAATATATAACAAATTTAATAACATATATATAACATAAAATGAAATATATAAATCCAACATAGAATAACATAACGCGCGTATGCGCAATAAAAGAAAAGTTATAAACAAAAAATTTAATGAAATACAAAAAAAATAAAATAAAATAAAATAATAATAAAATGACATATAAAGGTAACTACAATGTATTAATATATCGAGCCAGAGATGAATGACTTGAAAATTAAGACGACCTATTAATTAACCTTTCATGTGCCTCAGCTAATTGTTGCTCCAACAATCTAATTCTGTTATCTTTATCGATGTTCTTTTCTTCTAAACCCTTTTTCTCACTTTCTAAAACAGCAATTCGAGTTTGAAGGTCACTATTTTCAGCTTTGAGTTCATTAACTTGTTTTTCTAGAGATTCCATTTTCATAACTTTGCGAAGACGGCTTCTTCTAGCAGCGTCAGTATTTTTAGCGCGTTTAATGGCCAGCTCTTCAGATATAGTTTCAGGATCTTTCTCAATTTCATTTTCAGAACGTTTACGATTTCGACCATTTGTAGATTTTGTTGGAGAAGATTTAGAAGGCACCATTATAGCAGGAGAAGACTTTGTAGAACTTAAAGGAGACTTCTGAGTATTAATAAGGCTGTTGACGAATGATGCAGTTCCATCGGAAACCATATTTGAAGGATTAGTGACATCAGACCCCCAAGGAATGTTCAGGGCAGATGTTAAACCCGGCTGACGAATAGACATTGAAAGTGGGTGATGATTGTCAGCAGGAATGGTAACCGAAGGTACGATAGAAGCTAAATGCACCATGGATTTTGTAGTGTTTCCATCATGAAGGTCAGGGAAAAAGCCTACAGCTGGTTCGAGAATTGGACTTGTTGAGAAAGAAGTTGGATGACCAAATAAGGGAGAATCAAATTCACGAGACATGATAGTGTTATCGAAGGGTAAAGAAGGGGTGGCAATTGAAGAGGGTAAGTCAGGGGATACATCGTAACTCGTGGTAGAAGCCTCAGAGGGGAATAATAATCCATCTTCTCCTTCAGATATGATTTGTTCAATATCAGTGGCAAGCCATTCATCAACATCAAATAAGGTGGCGTCATTCATGCCACCAGATTTCAAAGGGGACGGCTCCTGTGTAATAACGTCCATGTATTGATTGATACCCGGAAAAGTACTAGATATCATGCCAGTTTTATTAGAGTCGTTACCAAAGGATAGCTTGATTTGTTCCATGTTGGATATGACTTTTTTGTTGGTAATTTTTGGAGTTGCTACCATATTTGCTTAAAATTGTTTAGTATCTATCAATTTGAATAAGAAAAACCGTAATTTGTGTTTTTATGTAAACGAAAAGTAACTTATCCTCCTTTAAAAAGAAAAAGAAAAAGTAACTTATATATGCTCTTAAATGCTATTATACTTTGGAGGAATAAAAAAAAAAAAAACGGTTTATTTGGTTTTAACGAAAAGGTATTATGCGAGTCTGAATATCGCGTTGTTGGAACACATTTTGAAGATTGGAAGGGTGTATTATAGTGGCCATTTTTGTGGCGGCTGCTTAAAAAAAGATTTAAGTAACGGTAACTACAAAAATATTCAAAGCAAAGCTTTGAGGTAAGTTTGAAGACTAACTTAGATGGTAAGGGATGCCATCTTGGTAGAAAAAAAAAAACCCCCCAAAAAACCAATTGTCAAAAAAATAAAATAAAATAAAAAATATTTAATTAAAAGTATGTAATAATGTAATTTACTTAGTAACAATGTGTAAAAAAAGAACAAAATTCGCAGTTAATATTTAAACGATACGAAAGCTATGCTTGCAAAGTAAAAAATTTTTTTTCGATTTTAGAGAGGGGGATGATTTACATCTACGTCTACTATTTTACTATTTATATTCAAGCACGAAAAGGCAGACTATTGGTTGTCCGTTAGAATATTTGTGTAATAAATCGGAGTGCTTCCCCGGTTGTGTCACTTTGGTATTTATACGTAGTACATCGTAAATAAGATTTCCCTACATAACGATAAGAATTCCTTTTTAAGAGATTTCATAGCACAGAATCAGTTTGGTAAACTCTTGTCGGGAAAACATACGATAAGCCCTTTTCCATGAACGTATCTAATTGTCTCTTATCATATGTGGCGGCACAAAAAGTAAACCGCGCCATTGAACTGCACCCAGAAAACCATTACATACTAAATAAGGGTGGTCTGTATAAACGTAAATGCATACGTATTCCTAAGCCTTCATTAAATATCCGATCCTTGATTCTAAACTAAATATATATTTTTATGGATATTGTTTGTATTATCTGTTAAACATTTGCTGTGACCACTGTAAATTTTACATACGTTAGTGTGTGTTAAATTATTTGACCATAATTAACTATCAATATTTTTGATATTTAAGGCCCATAAACAGACCGATTTTAAAATAAATTTTAAAAAAAAATGTGGGGAAATGGGTTTGACTTGATAATTATATTTAATTTCAGTAAATTTGGGTTTGCTTTAATAGGTGCGTCGCGTGGTTAACATGCAATAATCACGATAGTCAACCAATAGTAATTCAGGGTGTTTAATTTGGGTCCAGTTCAAAAAACATGCAGCGATGATTATTACTATTTAATGATCTTTTTTCCGTATTCTAAATTTTATTTACCGGATACGTATTCTATTAACAATCTATTGAGATGCTATGCAGATTATCATTAATAGTCGGAGCTGAGTTATAGGATGCACAAAAAATTATGAAGAATAGAATCATCCAAAATTTGAAATGCCAGAAGTTAAAAATATGAAATTGGTTTAAAAGCACACTAAACCTGATTTGTCAATTTTATTAACTTGTTTGACACTTATCGTTATCTGATGCTAATTGTCCATTATTGCGGTATGTGAATGTATGTTAAATGGAGTACTCCCAACCAGTGTTAAAGATCTGAAAAAATTTTTGTGTTTTTTGAGAACATAAATTATAAATTTTGGTTCTCAAAACAATTTTTTAATGTTCTCAAAAAAATTTTTATAATTAAATTTACAAATTTCATGTTCTCAAATGTTCTCAAAAAGAGAACATAATTTTTAATTTTAATGTTCTCAAAATATATTTAATGTTCTTGAGAACACTGAGAACATCAGATCTCTAACACTGCTCCCAACTATAACGATAATAAAACAAACCACACCACTCAGTCTATACTAACATACAAAAAATATCACAAAAAATCACAAATCTAACTATAATATTCATTTAAAATATAATTACATTTCATATGAAAAAAATCAAATAAAAAACAATAAATTTTGCAAATGTTAAGAAATTAACAATTAATTATTCGCCATCACCATTGTAATCATCTAACGAGACTCCGAGATGATTTTCCCCGTGATCATCTTGTGACAGAGGACTATATTGATATCCAGAACGTGAAGTTGAAATTGGAATCCCTGAAAAGATTCGTGAAATAAACGTTGGTACTTTGATCGACGAAATGAGATCCATAACCGTTGATGATATGCTTGAAAACAATGATAATATAAAGCTTAAAGGGTCTCTAATACGAACACGCCTAATAATTTTAAAACAGGTTATTAGAAATTGTCATTAAGCTAGATTTGTAAGATAAGTACTAACCCTAATGTTGAATATCCAGAATAACGGCTGCGTCTATTGTACACGACATATGCTACAAACATTCCTACAATCATACAAAATGAAAAGACAAATAAAACCACAAACAGAGCAGAAGATGCACGAGGGCAAAGTTGTTCTAGTTTTTTTGTATGATCTTCACCACCCGAACAATTGGAGATAGGAATCTTACGGTAGCTATTGAAAAATATAAGGACTTAGTATCGATTGTACATAACAATAAAACTAAATTTAAAATGAAATTACCTACCCAGATGGTTTGTACCAATATATTTCCCCATTAGCACATTGTTCCTTCATGCTGGATTCTAAAAAATTGTCATTGGGCGCTAGTTCACATGATTCTTTACTATTACGGAAGTAATTGTAGTCACTGAAATAAACGAACTCGAATTAATTTAATTGGTTAAGAACAAATGGATAGTCATTGTACACGAATAGAAAATTCTGTTATACTGCTGCCTAAATATAGTTTATCCGGATGAACCAGGATAGAGATTTTCTCAACGGTTACATCTTGCAGATGAAATTGCTTATCATTTTCTTACCATTCAAAATCTTGTATAGTGCAGGAACACGTTGCAGTTTCATTAGGAGTCATGATCTCATCATCAATATAACACGTACGATCAAAAATTTTACGATAATATTTGATCTTAAAAACAATTAAAGAATATCATAAATCTATTTGTGATTTTAAATTTTTGTTGATTTTTTTTTTTAACGTACCTTTTCGCCGAAGAAACACCCTTTTTCAGAATGAGATGGTACCCATTCTTCAAAATCAGATATGGTGCCTAACACATATTTAAAAAAAATTAGTATTTTAAATACAGCACAAACATTTATGACACAACATGACAAAATGTAAATGCAAACATTTGTTGGGCAGCTTGACAGAAAGATCAAGATAAACTATAACTTCTTTATCCAAATCGCCTTCATAACTCCCATGTAAAAGGAATTTATTACTGATACCACTAGGGTAAGTTGCAATAGCATGAACTCGAACACGCTCCGTCGGTTGTGTGAAATTATGTTCTTGCCATGTTTTACCCGCATTAAGCGAATACCTAATTGTCAAACATGATTTGAGATTTTGCAAAGATACATGGATTAAGATACATATAATAACAATCCCAAAATTACTGAATGTACAACTTACAGGAAACTATTTGTAGGTCCTTCATCGTCTACCATGATCAAAACGGCCCCTTGGCCACCGAATTCATATAAGTGTGCTCCTTTCCTTACTTCAACCCATGTTTTACTAGCATCTCGAGTTAAGAAAGTATCACCGTCCGAGTAGGAGGTTAGATGATCTCCAACATTTCCTACACCCATCATCAAACCCACAGCAGTGAGAGAACTAAAAGCATCGTGAGGACTTCGGCGTTCGGTATAGCCATGAAGATGCAAAGAACAACCATCCTAAATATAACAATATATATGAATATTTAATAACAAATCATCATAATCAGAGTTGGTATTTTGGTGCTCTATTGGCCTATTCCAGTACGTTGTTCCATTGCTACATTGAATTTTTTAATATTGGCCTTGTTAATTGATTATAGATATATATTCAGCATTTTAACCTAATGGTATTATTGTTTATATGCAAGAAAAGAAATGCTCCATTGCTCCATTATGTGTAAAAATGCTCCATTATGTGTAAAAATACTCCATTATGTGTAAAAATGATCCATTTGCCAACCCTAATCATAAATACTGAAGGTATAAAAATAGTCTATACATTACATTACAATCATACGTCGTACCATTCGAATCAGATTCAGGTTTTGTTAATGGTTTCCAAGTACTACCTATGTAATACAAAAAAGAATTTAGCAGGTATGCGAAATTATAACTATATAGAATTCACTTGCTGTTTACCATCATTAAACGTAATTTTAGTTTTCAATTTTTTCTTGGTACCAGTACCACCCACAATTAACTCATCCACATTGTCGACTACATTTGCTAAAGCAATTCCCTTAATTCCTTTCATTTTTTCAAAATCAACAAAGCCTAGTTCATTACGGTTCGCGAACTCCAAAGATTGAACAAAGTCGGTTCCGTTAGAATTTGATTTTAAAATATTCCCCCATAGGTTTTGAGGTGCTGTGGTAACTTGGGGTGATGTGGTAACATGTAATATGATAGAAGAGGTGACAGACTTTAAAACAGTGAAGGCCTAAAATATACAGAAAATATAAATAAATAGTAACAATAATAATATAGTCACTTTAAAATACTCAAAGCATACATTTTTTGTTAATTGCATGTTAACCGGGAACTTTGCTTCTGTGAAATTTTTGCCATCCAAGGATACCAATAGGCGAAGACCTTGACCAGATTGCAAGATCTACAAGTTCATCAATTGGAAAATTGGTAATTTAAAAAAAAAAAAGTGGCAAATAAGGTGTAAATAGTTGTTCGAATAGACAGAACATCTTAAATTTAATGAAGAAATACGCGCCTCAGCGGCTACCATGTATTGTTCAAAAGTAGTGAATCCAACAATATCATCAGACACTGTAGTTTTACTTTTACCAAAGTCATGAGATGACCATAATTGAAGTGGATTGTTGATAAACGATTTTTGTGATCCTCTTTTATTTTTATATGATTCACAAAAGATAAATTTTTTATCATCAACAACAAATTTGGTATCGAGTGCCCACGAGCAAGTTCTAACATAATTATCAAGTTCCTCCCAATTTCCACCATTATCTTGTGTATAATATGCCTTAATATATATTAAAATACGTCTTAAAAGGTTTGATTAAAGAGAACAGTAAATATAAAATACCATGCCATTCGAATACATACCACAGCTTTACATTCAAGTGAAAATATTTCATCACATTTTACGCTAGCAGTATATATAAGCCATTCCTTTTCCGTAGGATGGAATTTTAGAATTGGTAACTCAAGAACATTAGGTTGCTCACGAACTTTCATCGGGGATATACTCTTGCCGGCATTAGTAGTATAATATTGGGTGTTAGACAGTGTAATAAAGTATATCTATAAACAAGTAAAATTTTAATTAATAAGATTATACTACTAAATTAGTTTTTTTTTAGTATTAAAAAAAGTTCAAAACATCTACATGTTCTTTAAAATAAGGATTTTGGATCATAGCAAGAACTTTAGCGCCTTTAAGATCTTTAATAAGTTCCCATGAATAACCTTCGTCATCACTTTTCCAAACTTGATCATTCGAACGAATAAGAATTGTTGTGGTGTTATCAACGTAAAAGAAGTCCGTTATGAGAGTGTCAAACTTTTGCTATAATTTGAAATAAAATTAAATTTATTAGTTTGATAGAATTTTAATTAACAATTTATTTTTATTGTCATAATAAAAAAAAAAGCACCGTTCTAATGATTATTTCACCTAAAAAGAGAATTAAATTATTTTAAAATGAAATACTTTGAATTTTTGAATACAAGTCACTCTCGTTATAGTGAAGTGATCCGTTGCATAGTAAAAATTTTTAAAAAGTTCATTATATCGGGAGGTTATTAGTAAATTCACTATATCGAAAGGATTTTTATATAGACTGGTTTGGGATTTATCTTCACTATACTATAACGAGAATTTGTAGTGTTAAAATACGTACCCTCTTCATCGCTGATCCTTAAAATATCTTTTTCAAGGTCCTCGCCACCTTTACATTGTGACTTTGGAGTCTTATATGTGCCAGAACGCACAGCAGGGCGATTAGGATCATGTCCAAATGATTTGCATTCGTCGTCTTCTCCACGCCAGTAATTAGTATCACTAGATAACACCATATTACATGTGTGAATTAATCTGAGTATGAGTCAAGTTTGATTTTATTGGCTAATTGTCAAGAGTTCTGATTGGCTAAAATTAAAGATTAATAGCTAAAATGAGATTCTACTTGAACATCCACATTTTGATTGGACGAAATCAATAACCCAAACTTTTAACCTTGAGCGAAGACATCTCGATGACTACCTGTCTAAAATCAATAAATTTTTTTTTTATTTTAGTTATATAGTTATATAGAGTTGAAGTAAAAAAATTTTATCGATTTTTGACAAGTACTAATGAAATATTTTTATTAGGATAAGAATCAATATTAAGATTAAAGCAATTTACATATAGTAAAACTGGTTGAAACTTTCATTACATTGCTTGCTTAATCTATACCGAACTGTTCGGTATATACGTATAATAAAATCACTTTTCGGATCGCAACATTTTATACGTATTCGCGAAGTCATACGTATATAGTACGTTATATCGAAATATATATATGTGTACCCGGACTGATAAAAATGGAGATGGGCAAGGTAATTTACTTATTACGTAAAAGTTAAATCACACTACGTACGTATGCGTCAAGTGGATGCTAATGAGTTTAACGGATTTGGAATACGTACGTACTTAATTCGAATTTATTAACGTTAATAATTGTCCTATAGTGGTATTACATAATTGGGCACATCTTAGCAAAATTTTGTCCGTCTGTCTGTCCGACCATGTGATCTACATTATAAATGATTGGCTATTATGATGTTCGAGTTAGGGTTACTTTTTTGATGCAGTTAGGGTGAGTGGGTTATATAGATATCAAGAATCAATTTATGCAGTATGTAGATCACTATGTAGTACGTACACAGTAGAGTGGCCGGGAATATGTGATGTGAATATATGTGCATATGTCATAGGCAGAAATTCGTTTGATTGGCTAGCTTCGTAGATCAATTTGTAGA